TTATGGAGATATGCCAGCCAACTATCCTTCCAACTAGCACATGCGTTCTGTTACTATTGGTTCTGTTTTCTGGCACTCTGTCCTTATTGCATTCCATATTTAATTTTTTAAAAAAATATTTCACTGTTGTCCACTGGGATGTTGTGTGGAAACACTGTTGCATTGGGAAACAGGTTAGCTTTCATCATGGGAGTTAACAGCACCACTGGATGGAAATTAATAGGGCTCTCTCTTTTTCATGTGAGATAGCAGACAAGGTTTTCATGTGAGGTAACAGGCAAGGTTAGTGCTAGAATGAAAGAAAAGAGCTAGTTTAGCACTAGGCTGTGAATTTAAAAACTGGCAATAGATCAGATGAGATATACCACATTGCTACAGTACCACATTGGTTCATGTCAAAGCTTTAGTTCAGAGTGACTGTAGTGCCACGGTAGAACACCAGTGGTCAGAAAGGGGTGACGAACCCAGTATTTTATCAATGGGGTCAGCTTCAGGGATCCAGTAATGATTCTACAACATTCAACATTCATCTGTTTTGTATGTGCTGAATTATACCACACTAGGCTGGTGGGTTCGCCTGCAGGCAGCCAAAGATACAGTCCTCAGTACAGTATTTGTGGTTGGGTGCCCCACCCAGTTTCTGATAGCTTTGGTGAAAATATTATGAAAAAGATACTGTGGAAAATAAAGAAAACGAAGTGGAGGAATTGGTGAGATATAAGGAAGGTAAGGAGTGATGTATTATGTGGAAATCTGGTTCTTTGCATCCTATGTCTGTAATAGGGCACTGAAACATCCTAAAATAACATGCTGGGTATGTGGAGGTTGAGGCAAAATACGTACTGTAATGCCTTTGTGAAGCAGCCTAAAGCAATGTGTTTTAATTCCCTAGTCTGGAGGAAAACGGAGAATTTATTGTTGGGAGAAGGGTTTCTGGCAGTAGTTCCTGAAACAGGAAATGAGAGGTCTTCTTAAAAGAAGAAAAAAGAGACATTTTAAACTTCAGGATGATATGTTTATAAAGACACACATATAAGTGACTCTATGACAAAAACTGCTAAGCTTCTTCACCAGCTTTCAGCAGCTCTGATGCCACCCATTCCATAGAATCAAGAGAGGTCTTCCTGGCCCAAAATAAGATGGGTTGCAAACATTTTTCATTGCTGGCACCTTTGAGAACCAGCATCTCTTTTTGCACTCTTTCTGTTAAATCTCTGGTAGCAATTTTTTCTTGATTCTGTCATTCCAGTCTGCTAGGAAGAAGCCAATAATAAAGGACAGCAGGCCAAACTATGGCTATCATTCCAACACTGGGCCAAGAGACCCAGAGGGCAACTGGATGTTTCTTTAACCCCTGGCTTTACAGTTCATTGAGGGACGTGGTGGCGCTGCGGGCTAACCCGCAGAAGCCTGTGCTGCAGGGTCAGAAGACCAGCAGTCGTAAGATCGAATCCACGTGACGGAGTGAGCGCCCATCGTTTGTCCCAGCTCCTGCCAACCTAGCGGTTCAAATGCATGCAAATGCAAGTAGATAAATAAGGACCACTTAGGTGGGAAGGTAACAGTGTTCCGTGTCTAAGTTGCACTGGCCATGTGACCACGGAAGATTGTCTTCGGACAAAACGCTGGCTCTATGGCTTGGAAACGGAGATGAGCACCAACCCCTAGAGTCGAACATGACTGGACAAAAATTGTCAAGAGGAACCTTTACCTTTACCTTACAGTTCATTATCACTCTTCCTTTTATTGCTGCACCAAGACTTGCAACATATTGGGCTTTCATAGCACAATATTCCTGGCAGAGGACATGTACACAGACAAAGGGTCTCAATAAAGGGATATACAACCTTTCGAAATACATTTCCAGCCAGAGGACTTTCACCTGAGAGTTTGTTTGCGTTGCAGTGGGATTGCAATCCTAGACACACCTACTCTGCACTAATTCCTGAACACAATGGGACTTTGTTCTAAGTACAGATATGTCGGACTGCACGGTTCATCCCAGAGCAGCATACACAGGACTAGTTATGTTTCACAGAAATACGTCAGACTATTGTTAATACGGTCTATCTGATTTTTTTATGGAGTCTCTTTACTCTCCAGAGAAAATATGCTGTCTCTTTAGCCATTTTCAAGAGATTTATTTGTCTTTTGGTCACACGACTCCACATGGAAACCCATTATTCCTGCTGTGTTTGATGCTGTTCAAGAAGGATTTTACAAAGCTCTGTTTGACCAGAAGCTACTTCACATCAGTCCTCTTGCCAGGGGCACAAATAAAGAAGGGGGTACTTAATATTTTCATGCTATAAGGCAATCTACGCAATTTCCTCCTTTAATCTGCAAGAAAACAATGTGTGCTGCTATCTGAATTATCTAGCTTTCACTAGTGAAAACAGTAAGTTTACCCGCATTGCTAAGCAACAGTCTGGCTCTTCCTTTCTGGCTGACCATCTTCAGCATGTAAATCATGCTTTGGAGAGGTGGGGGGTGGGAATGGTGTTTATTGTATATTGATAAATGAAACTATCTGCTTAACAGGCAATATATATTTTAAAAACACCATTAAATACATCATAACAGCAACACAAGCGTAAAACAAAATAAAAATTGACAGCTACAGATTGCAGTCAGACACGATAAAACAATATCAAGCAGCATTAAAAGCCTGATGGCACAAAGCTCACTTATCTTCCCATATGATAATAACAATCATGTAAAATCAAGTCAATTCTGATTTATGGAGACCCTTTTCCAGACAGAGAAGGCTCAGAAGTGGCTTACTGTTTCCTTCTTCTGGGGGCATCTTGGGATTGTGAAGCTTGATCAAGGCCACACAAGTTGGCTCTTCTGACAAGGAGGCACAGTGGGGAATCGAACTCTGAACCTCTGGCTCTGAGGCCAGATCGCTAAACTACTGAGCAGGGAGCCAACTACACTTCCCTCATGAGGGAGCTCCACAATCAGAGGCTACCATCAAAAGACCCTACACAGAGTATTGACCAGCACAGCCTTTTTGCTTTCTGCTCTGTGTTTTAAAAACTAAAATGTTACAGTATCTTGGGCATTTTATCTCCTAGCTACAGAAGACATTTCCTGTCTTGTGTAATAATGTGAGATGGAGGACTTTAGAATACTAACTAACCTGAGCAAAACATGTGAAAGGAAACTCCAAACAAATACAAAGTGAAAACAAATGGGATATTTAGGTACCATCTTCCTGAAGAATAGAAAAGTAAACTTTTTACCATTCCAGCTTCCTGAATTCCTCATGCTAGGTAGGGGATTTTGAGGGCTGTAGTCCAGGCAAGAAATATTTTCAAATTCTGCTTCTTCTTTAAACTTGCACAGAATTGTATGGAAGATAGCAGCCAGAACGGGTGTCTTTGTGACAACACTAGAAATGGGAGTTTTCACTAACTCTTCACAAGTGTACAAGGACTCCAAGCTGATAATCTTTATAAGCCATTCTGGCAGGGTTTGTTTGTTGCTGGGTTGTTGTTGTTGTTGGCAGAAGAGCATGGTAAAAAAATACTTTTAAATGTATTCACTAGGCATTTGAATAACAGGGATTTCAGATTACAAAGAACTTAAAGTATGGAAGGAGATAACAGCAAATAAACAGAGCTGACTTTTCACCTAAGGTATATAGCACACACCCATCCAATTAGCTGTCTAATTAGTCAGTTCGACTATCAGCTTACACCATGATTAGGCAGAAGGGACAGCTGACTCTTCACCTAAGGTGTAGAGCACACACCCATCCAATTAGCCGTCTAATTAGCAGTTTGTGTGCTCATATTCTAACAATAAATGTCAGTTGGAATATCAGCTTACACCATGATTAGGCAGAAGGTAGAGGAATAATGGAGTAACTTTGCTTCCTTGACCAGATTACTGTGCCTCTGCAAGACAAGAGAGAGAGGAAGCAGCAGCATCACCCTGCAAACAACTAAGGAATAGATCAGTAACTATGAGGTGTAACTAGCAACTTTTCCCCTGTTACATTCACGACCAGTACTGGAACCCAGTTTGTTTTCTTCTAGGAAGGGAAGGGAGGAATAAATTGTGGCTGTTACATCCACGACCAGTATTGGAACCCAGTCGAAAGAAAACAACTAGGAAGGGAAGGGAGGAATAAATTGTGGGCAGATAATCCACAAGCAGAAGGAAGGTGCTAACCTAGGGGTCCTTTTAACGTTTATACAGTGGGGTCTCTACTTAAGCCACGACCAGTATTGGAACCCAGTCGAAAGAAAACAACTAGGAAGGGAAGGGAGGAATAAATTGTGGGCAGATAATCCACAAGCAGAAGGAAGGTGCTAACCTAGGGGTCCTTTTAACGTTTATACAGTGGGGTCTCTACTTAAGACTAACCTAGAGGTCCTTTTAACCTCTACAAATGGTCCGCTCTCCTATAAAGACTTTATACAGACTTAATATGTCTATTTTGAGTCCACAGAGAAATAATATCGAGGTAAGCACTTGTGGCTGGATAGTTCAGTGGTTTAGGTTTCCGCCTTGCAGAGCCAGTCATTGGGAGTTCAATTCCTCGCTGTGCCTCCTGGGAGAAGAGTCAGCTTGTGTGGCCTTGGGCAAGCTGCACAGCCCCAGGGCACCCCCAGAAGAAGAGAGTGGAAAATCACTTCTGAATACTTCTACCTGGAAAAACCTGGAAAAGGTCACCATAAATCAGAATAAGCATTCAATTATTAAGCACATTTGCAGTAACTGTGACCAATGTGGGACTGCACAGGAGTTTAGACATATTGTTATATACACATTTGCTGCTCCTGCAAACATATTTGGCAGGCACGTACTTAGCAATCTTCCTAGACGAATTTGTGAAGTTTGCTCAGGATGAAACTTGTCATCTTGAAGACATCCTGTGTGATCTGATTTCAGAAGTTAACCCAGGTTGGGCTTGGTTGCTTCTTGAAGAGGAGACCCATCTTATTACACCAGGGATCGAAAATAATCCTGCCCCAAATCCTAGAAAGCCACTGCCAGTTGCTGCTGAAACACTGGGCTCGGTGGGCCACCAGTTTGACTCAGCATCAGCCAGCTTTCCATATTTCTCAGAAAAGTATTAGTTTAACCACACACATGCAGGCCAGTGCATATGCACGCATACACACAGCCATTATCCACCCAGGAGGACACATCCATGCCTAACCCCTCTCTACCATCTAAGAATTTTAGGTGCTTTGCAAATGGCTATTATTAATTCTCCTGCATTCAGATTCCTCCCGGAAGCCATTTCCACAAAAAACGGGCTTACTTCTCATTTTTGATCACAGACGGAATCCAGAGGCAGAAGCAAGGAAAAGTACAGCACATGCTGAAATTAGGAACAGAACTAAGTCTGGAGGGCCTCTGGGTCTTGCTCTGTGCACAGCAGGGATCTGCTCACACACCTGGAAAACAGCCAGGGGTTGCCAACTCCCATCCAGAACCAACAAAGGACCAAAAAGAAACAACCACCCCCACCCCCCAACCCATTCCTAGCTCTTTCCTTCATACCCTCACCATAACTCAGCTAATGGGAACGCGGTCTCTCCCAAGAGAACCAAAGAAAGCAACAAGTTGCCACGGAACTCCTGTTAGCCTTTTCGTTTGTTCTAGGGCGCTTGTCTGAACCTGAAAAGTTCCCCCGCGTTAACGAACCGTCCGCACTGCAAAAAACCTTGCACGTTACTTGTTTGGGCTATAAATTCCCAGCATCCCCCGATCTGTTGGAAGAAGTACAGTAAATCTTTTCGCTGGAAGGAGATGAATCGTTCAAGCCACTTAATCGTTGGCTGCCGGATGGGCGGTATAAAAATCAAGTTAATAAAATTATAAAATAAACGATCCGGATCGGTCACTCCGGAGGAAACGGGACAAAGGCTTGAATTCCGATGCGCACTTGCCAGGGAATGCGCTGCCCCAAAGACAACAGTGAGGCTGAACGAGTACACTTGTTATGTTCGTTTCCCAGAACCTAATGGTTTTCAAGGGCGGGTCCAGTGCAAAATGGGGGTTCCGCCCGATCCTAAGCGGAGCCCAGCGCCCTTCATTCAGTCCACGGGCCGAGAGATGCCACTGCCTGCGTAAAGCTTCGGACGACGCGGCGCCCGGAGACTTACCGGAAGGCCACCAGCCTTTCCCCGATCAAGGCAGCGGCGATCCCGACCAGGGCGACCGTCAGCAGCTTCCCCATGGCTCAAGGCTCGGCGACGCGGAGACGATCCTCGTCCGGCCGGGCTCAAACCCGAAGTTTTCGCTCCTCCAGTTCCGCCCACCAGCCGGGATCCCGACCAGCCCTCCCACCTCCGTCCCCCTGGTGGGCGAACCACGGAAAGCCATTCCCTCTCTCTCTCTCTCTCTGGCCCTCCCGCCCCCGATGAGATGAGGTAACGGAGCAAAGGAGGCGGCAGTAACGAGCACGAACCAAGAAGCAACGAGGGGGAACGGTCCGCGTTCCATGCGAACAGCAACGAGAGGCAGTGTTGTGGCTCCAGGGGCCGGCCCTTTCGTTAGGCAAAGCGAGGCTGCTTGGGGCAGTCAACTGGGGTTACCAGAAAAGGGCAGCAAATTGTTACTTGAAGGTTTCCTGTTGGTAGCCAACGAATTCTCGCTTTATTTTCTTATTTAAGAGTTACCTTGCGTCCTTCAGTAACCTCAAAGGGACCCATGTGGCTCTCCTCCTCCCTTCTTTATCCTCTCAACCCAACCCACCCACCCCTGTAATGCAAGCTTTGGTTAGGTGATGGTGGTACCTTTTGCTATTCAGTTATAGGCAGCAAAATCTACTGAAGGACTCCCCTATCCACGGGATCAGTTATCCATGGTTTCACTTATCCACGGTCTGAAAATATTAAAAGAAAAGAAATCCTTTGTCAAACTGCTATCGCACTGTCCCATCTAAAGGGTGACCTAAGTAAGTCAGACAGAGGATGTGGTGACTGTTGGTCCAGAGTCACACAATACCAAAGCCGAAGCAAGCATGCAGGATTTTTAGACTTCCGGAGGTGTTTTTGGCCAATAATGTCCATTGGTCTCAGCTAGAATTATCAGCATAAAAGGATTGTAGGAGTTGTAGCCCCGAACATCTGGCAGGCTGATGGTTCCTTGTGGTGGAGTATCCCTGCTTGTCTAAATGCTAGCTTCAGCATGTCCTTGTGTGACTGAGTTTAAGATTACCAGCCTTAATTAGTTTATTTATTTATTTACAAGATATTTTAGCCATGCCATTACCAGTGGTCTCTGAGTGGCATACAACAATATTAAAACTTTAAAATCATTAAAACCATTAAAAGTAGGTAATATTGTAACAATACCCTCTATTAAAAATAGTCATTAAAACATTAATATTAATAAATCCTGCTGCTCATATGGCCAGCTAAAGAATACTATTTAATTAAAATGCTGGCTAAACATAAAGGTACCAAGAAACCAAAAGTGTTGGAGCCATGCGGATCTCTATAAGGAAAGCATTCCAAAGTTGGATGAAAATATAAAGTCAATTGAGTTGTTCAGTGTGTATTGGTTTTTTAAAAAATTAGGAATTCACCCACCAAGATGAGAGGTTTTACAGCAAAGTCGAAACAGTTCACTCAGAGCTAAGCAGATGTGTTGACTAATGAAAGTGAAACATCTGGAGGAGGGAAAAAGAACAAGGATAGCATAGGAATCATCTTCACATGCAGTAAGATGGGGTTTTTTGGAGTGGGCTGGTGTGAGCTAAATAGGGTTGCTTGGGGACAGGTGAAGATTCAATATACCATTTGATCTGATCCTCAGAGGATATATCAGAGCAAGCAATTGTATTTGTCCAGATCCTTCTGGCTGGAATTTCTAATATAGTGAAGTGGCTTAATAAGCAAGCCACTTCAGGATAATTTTTTGACATAAGGCAGAGGAAGTAAAAGAAAATTAGATTGCATGTGCTACATGTTATAGGGGGAAAAATAAAACATTTGCCCTATCTTAAACATCCGGTTGAGAAACTTCCCGCAGCCAAATCTGTGGATATAATAATAATAATAATAATAATAATAATAATAATAATAATAATAATAATAATAATAATAATAATAATAATAATAATAATAATAATAATAATAATAATAATAATAATAATAATAATAATAATAATAATAATAATAATAATAATAATAATAATAATAATAATAATAATAATAATAATAATTGGTGCAGCACATCAGCAATGGTCTACTTCAGTCTTTAAAAAAACTCACCACTTCCTCTGCCCCTCCACTGAAAAGCAAAAAAAAGTATTTGGTTTGTCGATATCCTGAAGTGTTTCACTTACGGTGTTGTTTGACGTGATCAAAAATTCAAACTGAATGGAGCCTTGATAGCAAGAAGGCTCACTTTTGGTCCCTTCCCAGTGATCCCATGCTCTGGAAGGTCTACTTCAGTCTTTAAAAAAACTCACCACTTCCTCTGCCCCTCCACTGAAAAGCAAAAAAAAGTATTTGGTTTGTCGATATCCTGAAGTGTTTCACTTACGGTGTTGTTTGACGTGATCAAAAATTCAAACTGAATGGAGCCTTGATAGCAAGAAGGCTCACTTTTGGTCCCTTCCCAGTGATCCCATGCTCTGGAAACACTAAACCAGAGCAATCCCGTCCACACCAAAAGAGTAGACAGAATCTCAGAAAGGTGTGGGAAGGAATGCTCTGAGGATGATTTGGTTCGCTCTGGTGATTATGTCGTGTAATCGCTGAAGGACCAAACCAACCCATCCCCACTGCCAATCAAACAGCAGGCTTAATGCTTGTCTGACTGCATCCATAGAAAAGGATTTAGTTGGCTGGCTTGGGAGCTCCCTACACACATGCATTTTCTTGTAGGCCTGACATTGGTACACTGATATTAAATGAAACTTTGCTTTTTACTCTTGTGTTATATTACAGCTAAGCTGGCTGAGACAACTGAACCACAGCAGCCATTTCCTGGCCCATTTCTGTCTTTTTAAGAGGTGGCTGGAATGTAAATAGTACATAGATGACCTGCAGTTAAAAGCAATGGCTACAACCTTTGTTGTGTTTCTATTGTTATTTTTGCATGTGCCTCTGAACCTTTGTGATTATGTGAAGGGGAAACAATATTATTTTAAGTTAGTCACTCATACATACTTCCTGTCTATTATGACGTAACCTTTGGGTTCTTTGGTGAAAAGCAAAGTCTTACAAAAATATATTTTTAAAAATCCTGTTCGGGTCATGGTTAAATGTATGGGAACAATACAAGAGCCTGTCACTTGGCACTATCTGAAGCCTTTGTGCGTATCACACAGTTAGCTTAATCAGTATTTGGATGACTTCCATCTGCAAAAAAAGCTAGATGTTTCTCCTTCAGTACATTCCCATATGCTGGCTGATGTTTGTATCCTTCAGGGTTATAGTCAGACAGCTGCCTCAGCAGAAAAAAAAATCAGAAATAGTGCCAAATTAAACACAGAAGTACCGTAATGTCTTTGGGATGGGTGATTATTTAACTTTTATGTTTAAATTATTATTGTGCAATTAAATTTTAATCATCTTACGTAGATTTTAGTAGCAGCTATCTCTGAAATGGGAAGCATAATTGAAGAATGTTTGATCCAGATTTAGTCCTGTTAAGAAGAAGCCTATGAAATATAATTGACTCTAACCATGTCTACATTTCAACCCAGTCCTGTACATATAAATGGTATGCTTTGATTTCCATGAATATTCCATGAATATTGCTGATATTTCTTTTCGAGTGATATTCCTTTTCGAGTAAGACACAGCAACCGTTTTGCTTTTGTAACTTTATTGTCCTTTTGTAACCTCAAGACAACAACAGTGTGCTCTATATGCCTTCTCTTCTGATGAGGCATGTTATTGAGGGTAATTTATCTAGACTTTCATCCTCAACAGTGTTTTTTAGTGGGGTTCAGGGAAAAATTTAATTACTGGGTTTAACTATAAAAGCAGAGATGTTGTAGTGCAATGCTGTATACAAAGGTAAGTTCCATTGGACTTCATCTAGGTAAGTATACAAATAGAATTGCAATCTTAAAGTGGTAAGAAGTGAGTAATTAAAAAAAAGTGCTCAAGTCCCATCCAAAAAACTTTGAGTTACAGTAGAGGAGATTTTCCATGTTTTGTTTTGAGAGTCTGTGCAGTATGCATGTTATGATCTAATTGACCTGGATTTCAAATCCCAACTCAGCTGTGAAGTTCCCTGGGTGATATTTGTATAGTCGCTCCTCAGATTGTGCTCTCATTTTATTGTGAGGGTAAAATGAATGGGGAAGAAACCATGTCCTTTACTCAGAACTCCTTCAAGGGATAAAAAGGTAAAGGTTCTCCTTGATAATTTGTCCAGTCGTGTCCGACTCTAGGCGGCGGTGCTCATCTGCATTTCCAACCCTTAGAGCCAGCGTTTGTCCGCGCAGACAATCTTCCATGGTCACATGGCCAGCATGACTAGACACGGAATGCCGTTTATCTTCCCACCGAGGTGGTACCTATTTATCTACGTACTTGCATTTTTGCATTTTGAATGCTTTCAAACTGCTAGGTTGGCGGGAGCTGCGACAGGAGCTCACTCCATCATGTGGATTTGATCTTATGACTGCAGGTCTTCTGACCTTGCAGCACAGAAGTTTCAGCAGTTTAACCCGCAGTGCCACCACGTAATAATTAGTAATAATTAGGTTCTGGTAAATCAGTTCCAAGTAATGAAGATCCAATCACTGTGTTCTAGATATAAAGTATTCAGAAATGATTTACCTGTCCCTCTTTCTGGTGATGCTTTGGGATAGTGTGGCTCACCCAAGACTGCACAGGTGGAAGGGCACTTAATCCCATTAGATCTACATGATCTCAGCTGGCCCCTCTCAGGTAAGGATGCTGCCCATTCAAGCTCCCAGCCCATGGCTGCACCTCCGGGTGCTCCAGTTCACAGAGCTATACTAACTATAAGAACAAGTGTGATTAAAAATATGATAAAAGGCTTAAGCCCCAGATGTCTTTAAGACTATCCCTTTCTTTATATTGCTTAGCAATACTGGATACAATCAAGATTGAACTGCAGTATTAAAAGCTCTGGATGATAGCTTTAATCATTAACTGTTATACTGTTAACACCAAACAGCATCTATCTGTCTAATCGGAGATGGGAAGAAAACAGGCAAATAACATAAAAAAAGCAAGACAGTTTACTTTCTAAATAAGTATACAAGATGACCTTCCAAAAGAAATCTGAACACACTTGTGAGTGGAGCCTGCAAAAGTTACTTTTTTGGACTCCAACTCCCAGA